AAGGAGGCGTGCTTTGTAACAGTTTTCATCTCAGCATGGTGCTGGTGTCTGGGCGCTAGAGACACACTAAGAGAAGAGACTCAGTTGCTCCAATTTTCTGATATAGAGAGCAATGTTACTGCAACAGAAGGGTTTAATGACAAGGGTAAATATAGTGGATAGGTATCCGTTATTACTGATGATAAATGACTGTAGGTTTGCTAGATAAAACGCAGGTACATTACCTACTGGGACAGTCCATACGGGGAGAGTTGAAGAGCTTCTGCAAAACTCTGTTGTATGGAGCATCAGATGACTCGATGGTATTGCAGATCCCTGTTGATAGGATTTAAGAAGAAAAGACAGATGTTGCGGATGAGTAATACAAAGGGAACCCAGCTCAAGGTAGCAAGCATGTACTGTCACATATCAGAACTCTTCCATACGAACCCATTCCTTTAATTGAAAGAGGAATTTGGAAGTATTAAGGCGTTCGCAAATCCGATAAACAGCAAGAGCAAATCAACTAATCCGCATATCTGCGATCTGCGTGAGTCTTCCGCCCTCCCGAGATATGGCTGTTCAAATCTGACAGGGGAACAACATTTGCTGGTGGCCATGAGAAACCAGAGAGCTACAGTATGTTTTCAAACTAACAAGCACTCCCGTTGTTCCATTTATTATTTCATGTCGGAAAACTGGAATTGCGCTTGTATTAAAGTTCACACAGTCAGTGCAGACTATCTATGTCATCTATGTCAGTTCATGCAGGGCAAGGTAATTCTCTGGCCTTTTTCATGATACAGCCTTATAATGGTCGTGTCTAAATGGTCTGTCTTCTGTGGTTTTATGAGTAAGGCTCGAACTTGAGTGCATGAGAATACAAGATTACGAAGAACTGTTATATATTGATAAAAAAAAGTGAGCTGAAAAACTGACAACTAATTTTAAGCATGTATGAAAAAAATAACAAAAAGCTCAGAAAATTCCGCTATATTTCCTATAGGATCAGTATAGACCCAACGCGTGCAGACTCCTCAGTTCCTGATCTCCCAAAAGGAGATCACTTAAAGAGACATCGCAGATAAGGAACGTTTCTTCATATATCCTCCCTAATACATGTCTCCAGCGGGGCATGAAATAAAAACTCCTGGCACTAATAGCTTTTTCCTTAACTGCAAAATTAGGAATTCCTTTTGTTTTGGTTTTGTTCAAGTAGGATGTGTCCCCGAAAAACCCCCAAAACAATTTTCCAGGTGCTCTTCTAACTAATTAAGCTGTAAATATGTTTGCCACACAGCTGAGGAGGGGTGGAGTAGAGGGCCTTTAATGCCCCAGCTAACCCCAAAATCTGAACATGTTGTTCCCCATCTCTTGTTGTCAGTGTTTGTGAGGTCACTGCACAGTAAAACACAGGTGATTCCTTCATATCATCTGTGACTATCTGCTGGCTGCAAAACCCCTGACAAATCCATTGGCAGTCTGTCAGAGCCTTATGGTATCTCTTGCTCACAGACTAAGCTGCTGTGATGAATGCAGGAGTCACTGATGAAATTCTGCAGCCTATTATCCCTCTAACTGCTTAACCAGAATGAGCCTTGGGGCCCAGCAGGGGGCAGCCTAGTTAATTGTTGGGTAGCACTGTATTTTAGCAATATCCTGAGAGCCATATGCTAGTGCTTTACAAGACACTGAACAAATGGAAGACAGCTCTGTAGGTCTTCCATGCTGTAAGTAATAAATAATACTCCCTATGTTTCGCTAATAAGGCGTGAACGCACTCAACAAGCGGTTTCAGTCGTAAAATACTAACACGTGGTGTTCAGGTTACCGATTTAACACAACACTCGAGAGTACGTCAAACCTTAAGAGACAGAGAATGACCTAATATAACACTGCAATATTTAATGAAGAAAAGCTGGTGTGTACCCTTCAATGGGTTTCCCTGATAGTAGAATTTGGCCACCTCAGGTTGGTAGGCATTTTTTGGAGACAGGGACGTGTCAGACCTACTCTACAATTCTCGAAGGGCCTCTGAAAGGGAGCAGATACATCCCCTTGCGGAACACCTGGAGAGAACCTGGAGGACAGCAGCCGGCAGAAGGGAGAGCACTGGGTAGACAGGAGCTGGACACGTCAAGGCCCAGGAGCCTCTGTGGGCTGCAGCTCATGGACCCAGTCTGAAACAGAAGCCTTAAGTCACAGACTGTCGAGACACTTGTGAGTCAGTAGTAGGAAGTCACTGCGGAGAAACCCTACAATGGAATTCATGTCCTATGTGCAGCAGAGCAGACTGCTGGTCAATTACTGAGACAGAGGAAGAGTAAGGACGAATTGCATGGCTTTTATTTCTGAGACTACGTATTTAGTAATATTCTGAAAATATTATGGGACACACAAGCCAGGTGACTTGTGAGGGGAAATGTGCAAATTCTTTTACTCAGAAGAAGCTGAGCTATGAAATTCTGAGACATTGACTTTACTTAGCTAATTAGACTCACGTGCTTTAGGTTAGAGCACAGGACTAACACAGAGCAAGACCCCACACCTCTCTCTGTCCCAGTAACCTTTCAAGGAGCATGCTGGTAGAAGTGTAGAGCTGAACAACATCATTTCTGTACTTTGAAAAACCCAGATTGTGCCTTGTAGCTGCAGCTTAAAGAGGAGAAAAGATAGGGGCCAGACGGAATGGAGCTGGCGCTGAGGTGACACGGGACAGTAGCATCAAGGATGCTGGTTTGGGGGATGTTTTTTCCTTCTTTTACTGCCTTGTGCCCTCGATGCCAGCTACTGGTACAGCAGTCAGTACAGTTTCCCACACCAAACATGGAGCTTCTGTACCTTCAAAGTTTAAACTGTTCAACACGAAAAAACTTTCCCTCATTTTCAAGATCCCTTTGGGTCCTTTGGCTCCTTGGAGACCTTTTTTTTTTTCTTTTTTTTGGGGAAGGGGTAGGCGTTAGGGCTGCGGGGTGAAAGCCTGTCAGAAGTGGTTAGTTTCTCCAGTGAAATTACTCCTTTGGATCTTCGTTCTCAGTTCAATCCCAAGTCTGAGCAATTTTTTCCCCCTTCTCTTGTTTTCCCTTTCTTTTTATTTTTGAAGCGATAGCGGATTAGGACGAAGGGGCTTTGTTTAGATAAAGCGAGGGATTAGAGAAGATTTGCCCCTATAAAGTTGTGGCTTGATGGTGCTTTTATCCCTCCATGTTACTAAAGCTGTGTTGCTTCTGGATTAGGGCTGCACAATGGGTTCCCTTGTGCTGGAGCTCCGGCCAGAGGGGAGAAGGAGAAAGAGAGGGATTGAGAGAGGAAGAAAAAAAAAGAGAAAAGGGAAGAATTGTCTGGTTTGGGGAAATGGAGGGGGGGGAGAGAAAAAAGTGAGTAGAGGGCAGAAAAGGATGTTAGACAACCGCCACCCCAAATAAAGTCAGCTCTTGGGAATGGCTGCTCTTCACAGGAGCGGTGTTAGTTCACAACACTGTGAGCCATATGCAGGAGTACCAGCCCCATCCTGGCTCACTGCAGAGCCACTTCTGGGCCTGCAGGATCTCAGCCACGGCAGATCCCTCTCAGTGTTGAAGAATACAGCCAGGCCCGGCCCGGGCGCAGAATAGGTCAGAGGGGTCAGACTGATCTCCCTTCGCCACCGCTCTCCAAATCTGGAAGCACACCCGAGACTGAACCTGCAGCCCGCCGGCGAGTCCGTGCAATCAGAGACGAGGAAATGAATTGGACTGTAACAACTAACTGTAATTGTTTAAAAGCAATTACAAAGAAGAGACGGCCATTCGGTCCATCAAGCCCATCTGGATGTTAGAAGCTAACTGAGGCACAGATCTCATCCAGCTGTTTCGTGAAAGACACCAGGGAACTGGCTAGCTCGCTCCATACTCCTGCAACCCTTTGTGTTCAGAACTGTTCTCAGTTTCACGCAAACTTCTGCATCAATTTCACTGTTGTCCTCAAGTCTGCAGTGTTGACTTTGTTGGCCCAATTTCACTCTCCAAAAGTGATTAATCCTGATTATTTATATGTTTTTTTTTAATGCAACGGCATTCTTAGTCTCTCACTCTTTCTTGTTTGTAGTAACTGGGTGAACTAAAATTTCATCCAGCCATTTCTTAGAGAAATCTAGAGTTTGGGTTTCAATCAAGACATAAACCACAGATACCCACAACTCTATGTGTAAAGAAGAGTTTCCAGCCCTCTGTCCTCTGAATTTCCCCCTAAGTTTCCAATTGTCACTGCGTATTCTGGTTTCATTGAGTGTGAAACAGTCCTTCCCTGGGTTGAATCTACCTATATCTCTTAGGATTTTATACAGGTGGATCCTCTCTGTTCTATAGTGAAGACATTTAGTTCATTCCAAATTCATTTGCTATTCCTTCCAAATTAATTAATTAACTATCAAAAGTAATTACATCTTTGGTTTTGGTGACCAAAAGCGAACACAAGATTCAAGATGACATCTAAAAAAAATGTCATAAAGCTTCTTATCGTTGTTAGGAAAAAAAAAAACAAATCTTAGTAAGCCAGTGCAAAGGCACAAGTTTAAATGTTGAAAAGAAATTTCAGTTGAACCGAAAACAATAGTTACAACACGTTAATAACCATCCTCTCCCCCACACCCCCCAAAAAACTTGTTCTCTAGTTGATTTTATTTAAATTCACTGACCTATACTTCCAGATCCATTTAACAGAAAACTACGGAAATGTTTTCCACGTTTTTCCATACGGGTCAACAGCTACATAATAACCATTCAAACGCTCAAACGCACCAGTATCATCATCATCATTATTATTATTATTATTATTATAAGTAGTAGTAGTAGTCCATAGAATCTGGATCTCTGACACGCAGAAGTTCATTTGATCCAAAGAACGTGAGAATGAATACGACTTGTATGATCAACTGTTAGATCAACAACAGCTGAACACATTTGCCGTGGGGGAAAGGAGATATTTAAAAAGCCGGACGAAATTAGGGTTTTGTCTCAAATTTTGTTTCGTGTTTTTTCGAGGCTAAAAGCTCTGTGGCCAGAATGCTTCGAAATATTGAAACTGGCCCGAGAAACTATCGCTGGCAGACTGCGGCTTCTAGTGTCATTTGACTTAGCATTGGCTTACCAGAGGGGAAAGAGGCTTGTAACCAAAACGTTGCGAATGCTTCCCACGAGTGTGTTAATGGTACGTGAGACCCTTCTCCTGATTTACAAGCTCACTGAGCAGGGCAAGTTTTCAGACTTAAGGAAAGTGTTAAACGGCAGAAGACAATAGTTCACTATAGAATCTGGATCATTGGCTGTCCGGTTAAAAGCCCCCCCTGTAAATGTTTGCAAGTAGACGCCAAGCTACGTGGGAGGAAGATCTCCATCAGTCTTGGGGCCTGGTGTGTTGTGAGTTTGCTCGACCCTAGCTACCAGCTAATTACTACAGTGTTCTTCATGCGGGAGTTGATGATCAGGCGCCGTGAGTCAGGGGAAGGTCCTGCTATTTTTAGTTACAGTACCTAGGTGCCTAGTGTTTTCACATAAGAGATTTAGTGCCTTCCTGTATTTCATCTTCGATAGCGGGGTTTCCTGCTGGGGTGGGAGGAACCCGACCGAACCGCCCTTGTAAATGCGCTCAGACGCGATGGGCAGCTTCGCGGTTGACGGGGAGGGTGGAAGGCGGCCGTCTCTCCTGAGGCGCAGGAAGCTGAACCTGACACGCGTGCGAGGCGAGGTGTGGAGGAGTTCCACGCAATGGGTCCCGCGCGATTCCTTTCCTGCTGCGGGACCACCACCACCGCGCGACTGGACACTGCGCGTTCCGCTCTCCCGCAACTGGTCAGCAAACCCTGCGATAATAATAAAAACCCCATGATACATTAGATATTCTTTCCTGCTTTCCTCGATTTTTTTTTAAAGCTAAAATAAATTACCTCTTTACTTCAGATCTATCGATTTTGCCCAAAATGGCTAATAAAGAACACGTCACCTGTAGGTAGAGATTGTGTAAAATATATATTATGCCATATTAGTCTGGAGATGGAAGGCACCCAACTGGGTGCTTACACGGCAAATAAAGATCATAAATATGTTTTTGTCCGAATAGGCGTCGTATCCCCCCTGTTGAATTATTTCCTACAATCGCCCCTAGTCCTGATATAAAAACTATTATTAAAAAAAAAAGTAAGTGAAGTAGACATCTTGTGTGCAATGAGATGTTTTGTCCAAAGCAATAAACCCGTGATGGTCGGATCTGATAGCTTGAATGTTCTTCGGAAAACGCTTATGCTCCACAGACGAGGCTATCAAGGAGCAAATCCACACGGAGTGGGATACTAACACGCAGGGGGTGAAGAGAGGGAAATATGATACAGGATATTGTACAACCATTCCTTCCATCGCGGCACTCTTTCAACATCGCTAGGAAATAATAATAAAAAACAAAACAAAACAGGTAGACCTGCACACATCCAATCGGGTGTTGTCTCACACGACGCCACACGAAGAATACAACCGAGGCAATGACTGTCGGACTCGGTGTTCCCTGTGAATTGAGGGAACGAGAAAACCGGTGAGCGGTCCTTTACGGAGATGTAACCCCCCCTCGGACTCGCTTCACGCTGTGTTTTGTGCAGGTATTTACGTAACGCACCGGATTCGACAACGATGAAGCTGCATAAACACGCAGGCAGCTGCAGTGTCTAAGCAGAGACGGTGACAGTCCGTTCCATAAACTACTTCCTCTAGGTCTTAGGCGCTTGGAAACCGTCGGTCTTTCAGTCACACTTTCTCCTGAAGTTCTTTCCCCTCAGTATGGCAGAGAGTTAAGGGCTGTGCTGCTATCATTTCGGGTCAAGACTTCGAAGAACAGCGTTATAATTTTAAAGTGTCTAAGGAGAAATGTGTTCTGCAGGTGCTATATTATACTCTCGTGTAGCCGGTCTTCATTTTCATATTAACATTTCATATTAATACCGAATACGATACCCCCAAAGAACTGTCACTTTAATATCGCCAGGAATGTAAAACAGCATACGACTTATACGCAGATTCACAGATAAGTAAAAGAAAGCCATCGTTATATGGCGACCTATGACTTGACTCTTATTTCCACTGTCACGTTCTATATTGTCAAGAAACCTGTATTCACGAAGTCTAAAAAAAACAAAAGAAAAAAAATATTATTCACGAGAATAATTCGTGAGAAAGTACGAAATCAAAAGGTAAACCCGAAAGAATCCGGCTTGTGATCTTGTAATCAGCTGCTTAGTAAAAATAGAAAAGGCCGACAGAGGCCGGTCAAAACCCGATTTGAGGTGGTTATTTGTAAAGGCGCTATATAAAATAGTGCTCTAATTGAATTGGAAACTCGTCGGCAGATGGGGGGGGATAGCAACACGTTGTCTTTGCTGCGTTTCCAGCAGCTGGTAGCGGGGTGGTTGGTGGTAATAACAGATATTTGGTAACCGCGAAACTACTCTGACATTCAAGCCACCTTGCATATGAATAGGGAGAATACGAGAGTGTAAGAGAGAGAGAGCGAGAAAGGGAGAAAATGAGAGAGGGAGGGAGAGAGATTTAAAATAGAAATGACATTGCGAACAGGTAAAAACTTTCTGTGCACAGATTTACAGGCGAGATCGCAGGCTCTTGTCATGAATAAAGGGATTTGAGAGGAATCAAAGGGCGGTGTTGAAAATTAAAAGAAAGGGGGCCGGTCTCTTTAATAAGGTATCTAATTCGAAGGAGGGGAAAAAAAAACTCTTTAAGATGAAGGCTCTGCTAATAACATGTCCAGGAGATGGCTCCTGGCAAATTGCTTTGTTATTCTTGTCAAAAAGGTCCCCAGGAAGCAGTCAATTTTAAACCATACATCAAAATGATTAATTGCCCTTAAATGAGCAGATGCTAGAATACCCTTGAATGGAGGCTGAGAGGCTAAAGCAGTTTTGGATTGCAAACATAATGTATTCATGGAGTTGTGGAAATATCATTAGGGCTATTAATTAGCTATTAGGAACTCTAGCTGGCTCCAAGGTGTTTTTGGTGTTTGGTGTATAACGGGGGTATAGAGAGAGAAAATATATTATCGAGGCAAATAAGACGATTCAATCCCCTTTATCAAATTAACCGTTCAATCTGAAGAGTGAATGGGCTACCGTTACCTAACCATAACATCCTCAATACTCGCCTCACCAAGACGCATAATTAAACTTCCCCCCAAACCCGATATTTTCTATTACCTGAGCCGCACCAAGAAAACAAAAACAAAACAAAAAAAACCCAAAACATCCAAATATACTTGCAAAAGTCGTCTACGGGTAAAGGCCATACCTAGATGAAGGGATAAAGTTATTACGAACAGAATGAATAGAATTAATTAAGAATGATAGAAACCGAAGCAGACAGATCACATTAAGGGAAGATTTGACGGTGTTACAGCAGGACCAGAACAAAAGAACTTAATCGTGGTTTCAGGAGAAGAAGAAAAAATATTAATGCGGCAGCTTAGCCAAGGGAAGCCTGAGCTGAAAACGGAGGAAACATACGGAGGAAAGTAAGTAATAAAACTGCGTGCAGGGGCCCTGAAGAGACCGTTCTAGAACCTGCGCTGACAGTCTAAACCCCTCTGATGCGCTGGACATTAGTCCGCATTAAATCGCCCAGAAAGCTGCTTTAAGGAAGGGGGCTGAGGAATTCCTTCTCGCTTTAATTGCTTTAGAAATAGTTCCCACAATGAGGCATTGCGCAGATTTACCTCTCGTTTAGGTTCTTATTGCCATCAGTTCACAAGTTAATCTCCTTTCTCTCCCAGACCCCATATACGCGGCGATATTGGGGGCGACGAAAGGCACTGAGGAGGGCGGGTCGGCTCAGGAGAGCTCATCTGAGTTCATGCACCAGTCTGAGCGAAATAATCCACAAAAAACAACAACTGGGAGATGAAGTATTAGTATTTATAAAAAACTTCTGCGGACCTTAATTCACGTTATTATTGAAGAACCCGCCATTCACAAGCTCCAAAGGGAGCAGTGCTTCGGAAATTGCTTTTACTCATTTCGATATTTTTGAGTTGTTGTTCGTTTGAAACTCTGAGTTGAACAGATCGTTAAAACGTGCAAAATCAGGTCTTTATTCCTGTGATTTTTGTACTATATAGGGTTTGTATCCAGGGGAAAAAAAATATCTGCGACAACTACACTTTGTTTCCACAAAATACAAATCAAACTTCGTTATATGAGAATGAAACGGAGTGCTACCGAGAAAAAGAAAAAAAAAAGAGAAAAAAGATATTCCCAACTAAAAAAAAAGATATTTTTCAATATTTGTCTTGAAACATCTATAGCACGTTCAGTTTACTAGCTGGAATCTCAAACTTTTCTTCACTATAACCTCACGCATTTTAAGAAATACTGAAGTGACAGAACAGCCTCATCGTTGTGCGTGTTAAACACTAGTGCAAAAATCAACGAAAAAACAAGATATGATTTAAGTGAATTAATGTCTCTGAAAAATAGTGAATTTACTTAGCATTCATTTTAAACCGGAATCACAAAAAAATATTTTTATTGAAACGATCACACGATAATGTTAAATCTTATAACACATAATACACATATTTGCAGAAAGTACACAAAAATAACTTTATACTTTGCATAGGAATAAAACGTGAAATGCGCAATTTAAGTAGACTTTAATATTTAACCTGTTTCCCTTAAATCCTTCCAAACTTCCCCCATTGTGCAATGAAAAAAGTATTACCAGAGTTATTTGACTGATGAAATAAAAAATTCACAATGTTGTTACTCACAATTAATTAATTTATGTAATTCATAATATTAATAATAATAAAGAACTTGGCTTGTTCAGGAATTCGAGGTTCAAAGGAGAATTTCTTAATCAACCTGTTAGATTGCGGTTTCAGCCATTTGTAAATTAAGTTAGATACCCACTGCAATACCCTTGTTTTTAATTGGAACTGCGTGACTAATAATAAAGTTTCTTTTAAAATGCAAAGCCCTTTACAGGGAAAAAAAACCCCGCCAGTTTTAACAAACGAATATTTTAGATATTTATTTTTTCTGAAGAGGAATCCAAAATTCTCAAAGAATCGTCTCTAAACAAAAGTAGTAAACTCCTCTGTGGGTTTAGAGGATGAAGTCAATGGCCAAAAACCAGGGCGCCTTTTGTGTGCATCACTCGTGCAAAACTTCAAAGTCGCCAAGCCTGTAGCCAGAAGAAAAGACATTGTCTCACAGAGTATTTATGCAGGTGTTCTTAATATCTTACTTGATCTCGTCATCAACCTCCAGCGTTCACTGTACAGTATAACGTGATGTGTGTGTTGCACTACTTTCCTACAGTATTGCGAATTAGCTTGCTTTATTTATTTTTTTGTCAAAACACCGAGTTTCCTCCAGCACCTGTTCTGATCACAAAATGACGCCAAGATAAAATATTTACAGAGGCTCATACAGCACTCCAATCCCTTCACTGTACAATCAGCAACGAAGACATTTAAAATGATGAAATAAAGTACCCTTAAGCCCATAGACCGGTCAGGTTTACAGGTGTTTTCTTATGTATTAAACTTTATGTGTAACAGTTTATTCGCGGGATATGATAGACAAGGTTAGATAGAACAAAACGGACTGCGGGCGAAATTCATATTTTTCAGTTCCAGGAAATGTTTTGTCTGCAATTTCGATTTCTAAAGATGGGGGGAAAAAAAACAACACACACGGCCAAAGATAAAATTCAGTTAAGGATTTTCACCCTGCCTCTCCCTTTCTCGGAGAATCTCAACAAAATATGCAAGCTTTACATTAAAAGGCTACTTTTCGCTGCCCTTAATTCCAGCCTAAACGGTTTTGCTCCGGGAGAAGAAATCTTTTCTAAAAACCTTCAAGAAGAGAAGGGCATTATTGTTTTAATCCTCTTACCAGCAGTCATTTTAAGACAGGGGTTTTTGGAGGCTGAAATGGCGTCTTGTCTCCCCAATCCCATCCTAAATCCTTCAGGGCCGGGAGAGATTCTAAAGGCAGCACCCTGGCATCTATTAGAGATCTCTCTAAAGGCTTTGCCCCGCGCTCTCTGCAGCAATAGTATGACAAAGCTGAAAAGCAAATAAAATTAACGCTTGAGTTATTCAACTTACTATGCGCCAAAGAACTGGATCTATGTAACTAGCCGAGGGCTATATATGTATATCTATACATACCTGAGAGCAACAAGAAAAACTCCACTAAGGAGAAGAAATACAAGATATTTTCCTTTCAAGATCATTTTGAACTGTGTGTAAAACAACCCCCCACCACCTCCCCAAACGGGTCCCTTCTGTTTATTTTCTTTCTGAGACACCTTCAAACATATTGGTGTAAATAATGCAGGCGTCTTTTTAACGCCAGTTGGGTTTTTAAACGTGTACCCCTCCAAGCTCTGGGACCGCAGCACGCAGTCTGCAGGAGCAGCATGTCAACTTAAAGCCCAGATCTGCAAAAGCTGTTTAACGTTCAATTCTGAAACGATGAGACTTGATGAGCGCACGGATCTATACACAAACACGAGTGTTAACTAATATACGAAAAATCTTATTCACATAGAATACACTGCACCCTTATCGTCTGTAAAAGATGTCCCCGCTCAAAGCAGGCCGTTCGTGTACTACAGCATTCCCAGACTTTGAGCGCCAGAATACATGAAGATAATACCAGCTAATTTGTGTGCATCGAGCCTGCTATACTGTATCAATCTCTAAGCAGCTTAAAAAGTGTCCCCAAGTTAAAAACTTTACTTAAACTCCAAAGTCTGAATTCATTTTAGAAAACATCGACAACTGTGGTGAATCATTTTCAAACGCTCCCAAAACTCGTCCGAATCTGACGTGCATAGCGATATTCTACTACTGGAGTTTATTCTGCGGAATGATTCCTTCCCGAGGAGAGGAGAGAGTTACAAACTCGTCTGCGGAAAAACCCAAAAGTTTGATTTTTTTTTCCGTCCCTGTTTTCTTCTTCGCCTTACTTTTTATATTGCGACCGTATTTGAAACAATAGAAAAATCACCGGAAAGCTGTATGTAATAAATGCGCATGGCGCTTACTGGATTCTAAGTCCTATAAACGGCACTGTAACGCACTTTGCGCACAGATGAAAAACGTACGGCGTTTTGAGTGTGTGCGTGTTTGCTCATTAACAGCGGTATTTACACATGGAGAGGACTGGAAATGAAGTAAGCGTATAGGACAGAGGAGTCCGGAGAGGGGAGGGAGGGGGGGATACTAAGCCTTTCTAGTTTGATTGACACGCCAAAGGACCATTAGAAATCTCGTATGTCTCCTCAGGGCGCTCTTTAAAATCCTTCTTCAACCCAAGGCCCGGTAGATGGCAGCTTCCAGATTCTGTTCAATTCGAATACACCAATGGAGAGCGCGACACGCGGACACCGTGTATTCTAGTCAGCAGGACACTATAAGGAGACTCTGACGCTAAAGAACATACAGAACACGGAGGAGGGAAATCACAACTGCGAGACTATTCTAAGCGGCTCAACTTTCTATACAAGCAAAGGACGGAGAGGATACCAGTACGACAGCCCACTCCTTGCTAGGACTGTTGGAACGCAGTGAAAGTAAGGTAGGAACTTTTTTTGGTTTGGGGGTGGGATAAGAGCTTGTGGAATACTTTATACAAAGTCGATGTCACAGACCGGTCGGTGCGTGCGTATGGTTTCTTTGACACTCATAGATGGTACAGGATGCGGGTATCGTAAAGAAAGTAGTGGCCATCTGTTAAACAGCTCGATCGGGTGAGTTTAAACAGCACATTACAAAGCGCTCGAAATATTACTCCTGGACCATCCAGCTCCAAAGCTCCCGAGTACCGCTGGGACTGCGCGCTCTGTTAACTCGCGAATCGCGAAGAGAGAAATTAAAAAAAAAACCCCGCTGCTTCAAAACCCATAGTATTAAAAATACGTTTTTGATTTTTTTTTTCTCTTGATCGGTCCGAGGTCTCCCCCCGGTCTCTCGCGACGCTCGGATCAGACACTTGCGCCCCCAGTTTTTTGACAGATCAGAATAAGTAATGGGAGAGGTGCGGGGAGCCCAGATTGGCGCTGGCTGTAGACCAAGCGAGTCGCCCAAGGGTGAGGGGCCTTTTACAATACTTTTTTTTTTCTCATTTAACCGGATCAAAGAGTAACACTGTAAATTCATGCCGATTAACATAATGACGCTTTAACAATCGAGCAGCTTGGTGCTCCACTGCCGCGGGGCGTGCAGGGCTTAGACTCCAGGGTTGCGTCCAAAGAAAAAAAAAGTTTATTATTAGCGGAGTGTTCATGCGCTGCAGCTGACGATGTCATAATAATAATAATAATAATAATAATAATAATAATAATAATAATAATAATAATAATAATAATAATAATAATTTACCTACCTGCAAAACGACTTACTTCCAAATATATTTTATATTAATGTGTGTTGCATGTGTGTGTACCTAGGGAGCTGTGTCGGATTTGAGGAGAAGTTAGACACTGATTTAGACGTTCTAACATTTTACGGGGGATTTTCCGAATCGATCGCTTTGCATTTTCTTTTTTTAAAGTAGCGTATCTATTTTGCGGAACTGAAGCACAGCGTTTTACACGCGGGGAAAGAGCTGCGCGCTGCAAGTTCGCGTCAGCGCCGATGATAAATGAAAGACGCCGCAGTCGAAACCTATTTGCACCTCCATTAGATGGGGAACCAAGTGGGGATCAGCATGCATATTTTACAGCACAGATCTCATGCATCTCCGCCACACGAAGCCCTCGGGCAATAGGGTAGGGGCCAGGAGAAAGAGAGGGAGAAACGGCTTCCATTCAAGTCAAACACTTGGGGAGAAAAGTTAATGTTTAGCAAAGCACCTTCTGTCCAGGCGCAATACAGTTATTCCCTTTGCGCAATGGCCACTTCTGTCAGCCGCCGCCGTGACTTATTATTATTATTATTATTATTATTATTAGGCTGGAAATGAGCGCCGTAACTGACAGAGAATCGGAGAAGAACTCCTGGGTGAATCTGAAGAGAGGGAGATGGGAATTTTGGTTTCCTAGGCAGATTTATAGTTAATAGGATCGAAATCTGTATACCGGGACACCTGTGCTGCATATCCGGAAACAAAACTGATCAGTCCGACTTTTTGTAGGTTTACCGTCTTAAGACAATTTCCCTTCGGCAGTGTATAATAACATCGGTACTGTCATTCTCCAAAGAGAAAATCCCAAATGCCTTTAGCATGGGATTTGTTCTGGAATATGTATGTTGTCAGTTTGATTTGTACATGTTTTTTTTTAATCCTCAATCAATTATATGGCAAAGAGCAAACAAGATATATATTTTTTTTTTGTTTTGCTCCAAAAGCGACAATGTCTCCACATTTTAATTCCAGTCTGTCCAGCTCCTGGGGAAGGTAATGAAATTTGACTGTCACTGCTAACATGACGTGAACGTAAACGGTTTACACAAACACTACAAAAACCATATACCGTGTGTTAGATGTGGAAAAGATCTTTCCTGGTACACTGGACCGCCTCGGTGTTTCCTCTTAGACATGTAAGTAATAGGATGACTATTAAACAAGGTACTCAATCGCATTTTACCGCAGAAATCATTGAACAAATTTGAATGAATTTTTTAATGGTAGAAATTAAAGGTTGCTATTTTAAAGCTTTGTGGTTTGGTGGCGAAACAAATATCTCTTATTAAGTTATTTTAAAGATATACAACCGTACAACAAGCTTATAAGCACTTAATGGATGCGTAGAAATAAATGCGTCACAATTCTGGAATTGTATTTGTGCCATTTTCTGTTAATTAAAGGCTTGATAAATAAAGGAGGCTTTATATCTGAATAGGATTAGACCAGAAAAATTTACACCGTGGCTTATGGTGTGACAGAGAGTATTGAAAGCAATTAGTGGAAATCAAGAGTTAATTGAAAACATCCCTACGCACAATTACAGGTTAAATTCAATTACTACAATCTGTTATATAACAGACTTATATTATACAAACCCTTACCAAAAGAAAGATTAATGACTTTTATTTTGTTGTGTTATTTTTTTTGGCTTCCGATTACCCTGATGCATTCACCCAAACTGAAATATTGCGGGTTTGGCTACTATTTAAAACAGTGGTTAGATTTAGGACTTCGGCTTCTTTAATAATAATTGTGATGATAATGAACAGCAGATCGTCTTTCCAGTGTGCCTGCTGACATAAATTCTAGCATTTGTTAACCTTAATGAGCCGTGTGTTATTTAAAAGAAATATCACAAGTTGCGTTAAGTGTATGAAAATCTGCTTCCCGCTGTTCCTCTAAGGACTATTTTGAAAACGAGATTATTTCCATGGGAAAACGTTGAATTGCCACCAAGGAAAGCTTAAATAAATAAATTAAAGCCCTTATAATTAATTATAGATGTATTTATTACACTTCCCCCCCAATATTTTGGTTATTAAAATAATTAATATATTCATGAATACAAACAATTTACAGTATGGTCTTTAAGACACCGATATAACATCAAATGCCCTTGTTATGCCCGTGGGAGGTTTTCAGATTTGTTTAATTTAAAACAAAAACTCTGTTGTTAACATTTCCATTCCAGTGAGGACATTGTTTCTAATTGTCTCTCACCCCAAACCTGACAGACCGCTAAATATCTCTATTAATGCAAATTAGCAGATTTGAATATCCCGTTCCTTTTGGGGACTGAGACGGAATTAATTAAAATCTAATTATTAAAATTAAAAGCAATAAGAACACACCGTTTTAACGTAGCAAAAAAAAAAAAGAATTATTTAGCACGAACCGATTCTTGGATTTTTGATATATGTTTTAAGGTAATGACTGATTTTAAAACACACTAGTTTACAAAAACGGTAGTGGAATTTAAGACGAACCAGACTGTTCCTGGTCGATGTGCTCAGGGCTCTTCACTTCGGTGGCGGGCGAGGGTGTTCCCCCTTAATGTGTGAAGCGTTTTGGGGTCCTTTGTGATGGATAGCGCTATATAAGGGCCAAGCAATAATAATTAGCAAACAATTAAAAAACTATAAATGAAGTAAGGAATAAGCGAGATAGCTGCAGGCGTAAAACTACTGTATCAAATACGCCTTAGCGAAAGTCCTAATAGCCACTGCAAATACGTTTAACATAAAAAAAGATATTATTTTACTTGAATGATAATAAGCATGTTTTAACGGGTTGCACGTTCCCTGTTATGCATGTATATAAATAGGAAAATGACCATTTCTAAAGGAAATACTTCGAACCAGCCGGCGCCCATCCGCGGGTCTCCAGACACCAAGCAAGCGAGGGAAGACTTGCACGTTTTCCTCGGGGTCCTTTCACAGTTCCAGCTGCTTGATGCTCTAAGATATTCGTTTTTGCCGAAGACCATGATAGTAATACATATCTAATCATGTCCTGCAGCGCTGGAGCAAATTCTACCTCGGAAAAAAAAAACAGGCCCCTAAAACTCCTGCAAGAACTGTTTTAAACCGGTTCTTTAAAGAAGTGGGCTGTTCGCAGCGGAGACGAGGGTGTCTGAGTATCTTGTACGAGACTACGTATGGAAATTGTCTTCAAGATGCTTGTTTCGTTTTGGCTGTGATCTAATTTTCTCGCATTTCGATACTTCGTGAAGTTCAGTTGGGCCAGTTAATGCCCGCACTGAGTCGGGTGTTTCATCTGTTTTTGATTTGCTAGTCTAGAGATGCCCTAGATTTTAACAAGCGAGTTCGCTTCTTACAGCGGTATGTCTTATACAAACAGGTGCATTTAACGCTGTCTGTCATCACCGCAATGGCTATTAGCTCATTATTATTATCATCGGTAGTGGTGTCATCGTTCACACTTGATTTTTTTTTTAATTTAAGATTTATTTGATTTCACTTCAGCTGGAGATTCGTTTATTTTTCTACGACTGTTTTATTTTAAAAAAGGAAAAACATTAAGCGGGATGACAGGTGAGGCACATATCACCAGGATGGAAATAGTACGCAAAACAGTCCGCTACACAAAATGCTGATACATATATTGCATTGGTTGCGAGTTCTCATAGGACCGATGCCCGCGATCAGCTTGAAGTGGACAGAAAGGGAAAGTTTCACATAAACTCTTCAAACGATTGAAATTCTTTCAAATGCACTTAATTATTTTGAGTGAACGGGAATACCAGCTTTGATCTGGCATCCTGGCGTGTCCGATAAGCGCTCTTACCACAGATACTTAAAAATAAATTGAATAGCTTTTTAGCAATTTTTTTTTCATTTTTTGTTATTAAAAAAAAAAGGTTTAGGGGGATTTAAAGGTACTGCAATCACGAGCAAATGGAGTGATTAAATTATTTCTAAAAGCATCAGTCACACTACATTAACTGAAAGAGAGCTAATTATCCCAATTAGAAGCCTGATTTATAATTAATGGCTTGGGCCAAGTAATAATTGGATGTTAATGGATAACGGTTTTGTCAGAGAGAGAGGGAGGGAGAGAAAGAAAGAAAGAAGGTTTAAGCTGTCTCTCGCACTGTCCCAAAAGGCGAGCTGCCTGCTTTGCTTTTGCAACCAACAAAACGTTATTAGCCGATTCATTGCAAACAATTATAATAGGACGTCAGCTCGGGGGGGATTTGCTGGAGATGCAACCTTCAGCCTCGGGCTCCGCATGAGAGCTGAACCTGCCGTTGGTGGGCTGTTCGCTCCCGGGTCAGCGACAGGAGGCGGCCCGAGAGCACAGGGCGAAGCGGGGGTACCAGACGAGGGGGACGGGGCAGCGACAGCAGGCGACTTCGGTGACGCGTAGGCCCGTTCTGGGACACCCCTCTCAATGGGAGGCGCTGTTGAATCACAGTGAACCCAGAAAAGAGACACCGTTTTAAGATAATCGCCGAAAAGCAACAACAACAAAACAAAACAAAACAAAAAATCTTTACACGGAGCGGTGAAATAAAGTTATGTTTTTTTTAAAGTTAAGATATTCATCATTGGGACGTAAATTATTACACACTTCACAGTTGGAGGAGGTGTTGTATTAAAGTACCTAAAAATCTATTATTTTGTAGGTCTGGTGAAATTAAAGGCGCTCTTGGCGAGGACTGGCTTGCCTGCCTGCTTAATGATATATAAAGACGGTTTAACAACAGTAAGCACAATTTGTCTTAAAGAAGGATAGGCCACCCTCTTGATAAATTACTTTTTAATTTCAACACCAGCAAAAAGTGCTTGCGTGTGGTATTTCTAATATTTCAGTAATTGTGGGTTTTTTTTTTTTGTATTAAGAAAAAGGCATTTCGACCGGTCGTGCTGATGGTGAAATTAAGAAAGCGTTATTGCACAGGGAGACGGGCGCGGCTGCAGTCTCTCGTCAGTGAAGAGAGCGACACTAACGCCGCTGAACTCGGCCGTCTCACTGGGGGTGATAATCTGTTTATTTTAAAAACAACAACATTTCACACACCTGAAACGTGCAACTCTAGCGTTACACAAACCCCTTCGATTACATTCAAAAGCTCGCATGTTGCATGTAAAGAGCCAAGATGCCTAGATTTGTCGTTTTCCACATTTTGTATAAAACCCGCTCTAATTTTAGCCTTTTGAGGTCGGACCTACAGCGCACCGCTTCTCTCAGTGCCTCAGCCTGAGTGTCTGTGTTCGCCGGGACCACACTGCTCACTCCGCTCCTGAACAGTTTTTAAGCTTCAGCCTCGTCTTTAATTATTTTTTGTGACTGGTCACTTCATATAACTGTTAAAACGATTAACTGAGAAGGGAGGCTCAGTGATGTTCAACGCGGGGGATCTGGAAGTTAAGGCGCAGATAAAGCTCCGAATTGTTTTTGTTGTTGTTTTTTTTTTATTTCTGGCGAGTGCGTGGAGGGTTTATGTACTGGGGTTGTTTGATTTACAAGGTCGTACTTGGCGTCTCCTTTTCTTTGTCACCCTGAAACGTACCTGTTTCCTTGTCTGCCAGGCGCCAGGCACCATGCAGCACTATGGAGTGAACGGGTACTCCCTCCACGCGATGAACTCCCTGAGTGCAATGTACAACCTGCACCAACAGGCGGCGCAGCAGGCCCAGCACGCCCCTGACTACAGGCCCTCAGTGCACGCTCTCACCCTGGCGGAGAGACTGGCTGGTAAGAGACAGCAGCACACACGGACGGCACAAGACGAGATCTCTCTTGCTCTATTGACCTGCTGAAAGCGGTATTTGGCGATTATTTGGTGATTAAGGATGGCGAGTTGTTTGTATAATAAAGGGATTCTGGAAGGGGATGTGCAAAGCAAGCCCCAATTTCTGTTCAGTGTCCCCGCTCCTTTACGACCAGTGCACAGGTGGCAAAATACGCCTGTAGTAGTTTTCCAGGCTGTAGCTCGGGTTCGCTTGCACAAACTGGGGTACAGTCCCTCACGGTCACAGGGGCTCACAGCCTGGATTGTCCTGGATACTGTCCTCAGTCTGAGATTTCCGACGTTACTCAGTAGCCCGGATTCCAGGCTGTGAGGGAAGAGCAGAGTGGGGAAAAGTTAGACAGGGAAACCAGTTCCTGACCTGTCCATTAATTAAACATGGCCACCGGTCTCTTCTCTTCCAACGGCTGTACATTCCAAGACATCATCCTCGAGGCGCGCTACGGCTCCCAGCACCGCAAGCAGCGCCGCAGTCGCACCGCCTTCACCGCCCAGCAGCTGGAGGCTCTGGAGAAGACCTTCCAGAAGACCCACTACCCCGACGTGGTGATGAGGGAGCGCCTGGCCATGTGCACCAACCTCCCCGAGGCCCGCGTGCAGGTGCGCCCCGTGCCGGCCTGATGCGGCCCAGCCGAGCGCACGCAGACAGGAGCGTTAGAGCTCTGTAGACGCCTTCGTCCGAGGCAGCAAAGCAAGAGCTGAAGGATGGCTCGCTGCCGAAAAGAAAAGAGCCACAACGTTTTCGGCTGTGGAGCCTTCTTCGGGTCCCGCAGCCGAAACGTCGTGTCCCTTCTCTTTCCTTTTCCGCAGGGAATAAACCTCTACCTGTTCCTTTGCGGCCTACGCATGCAGACGCAGCTCCCGACTCGAACGTGCTCTATCCAAGGCAGTGTTTGTGTCAACTTTAGCAGATTGTTGTTTTGAGGGAAGAAATCTGAATAATATGCAGTGCATACGAGTAGAACAACCGTGCCCGACGTGGGATTTGAGCCCACAACCTACAAATTACCAGTTCAAAGCCCTAACCACTTCCCCACACTTCGAACTAATTTGGGTTCTTTAATTGTTTTCTGCTGTCAAACCTCGTTGGAGGTTGCCTTTCAACTATTGTGGTTTATGTGCAACTTAAAATATGGCAGATATTGTCACTCCGGCTTCCCAGTAGAATAAAAAGAACCTTCAGAAGTTCTAATGAAGCAGCTCATTAGTTTAATCGGGGGGGTTCGATGACGTATTGAACGCAGCAGGAACATAACCCCAGCAGGGGTGAACCTCAGTATTGAGGCTGTGAACATGATTTTGCTGTTTTAGCGGACGCGGCGACACGTTCATAAAGAGCACGAACTGAGCCCCCAGCGGGGATTTCTGTTCCCCCAGGTGTGGTTCAAGAACCGTCGCGCCAAGTTCCGGAAGAAGCAGCGCAGCCTGCAGAAGGAGCAGCTGCAGAAGCAGAAGGAGGTGGCCGACGCGGGGCTGGAGGAGGGCAAGGGGGAGCCGCCCGCGGCCGCCGCCTCCGAGGCCCACAACCCCCCTTCCTCTGCCTCGTCCTCCTCCTCGGAGGCCGAGCGCCCGCCGCACCCTCTGGCCGCGGAGATGAGCGTGGAAGTGAACGTCACCTCGGCCGAGCAGTCGGGCAGCGAGTCCGCGGCAGAGGAGCAGACAGACGAGGGGGAGGAGCTCAAGCAACACAGGGAGGAGCCAAAAGGCGACAAGAGCCACGCCCCTGGCAACAAATCCCCACCGTGCAAACGCATGAGTCCCAAAGCAGGTGAGTCAAGACCGTTACGTCCTGGGGTCACGTTTATGGACCCACAATTATGATTACTGCCTAAAATGAGTGTTTCAGTGAGCCATTCGGGTAGTCCGCCATTTATCTGAACTTCAAGTTTCTCAGAATGTTTTGCTTCCCAAAGTAAGCCAAGAAAGTTAAATGGGCAAATCCTGGAAAACGTCTTTAAGATCACGCTGTCTAATATCAGGCTGCACATAAATACACTGCAGCAAATAGAATTTTCCAGTTATAATGTGTTGAGCAACACATAACGTGTAGGTTTATGATCACTCAGATTGGAATAAAATCCAAGTTTCTTACAGTATTCCATTTATCGTCTCTGAAGCTTGCCCTTCTGATTTTACAATGCCCAAGAAGCACAGTCAGCACTATTCTATCTACTACAGCGCCTTCATCGTTTAATTGTCTTTCCATTTTCCCAGACTCTCCTCTTAGTTCTTCGGCAATCCCATCCTCCAGTGGTGTCAGCAGTGGGATGGCACAGAGCCACTCATATTCCTCGTCCCCGCTCAGTCTCTTCCGCCTGCAGGAGCAGTTCCGCCAACACATGGCAGCCACCAACAACCTGGTGCACTACTCTTCCTTTGACATGGGCACACCCTCCTCCATGCCTTACCTAGGCATGAACGTCAACATGGCGGCACCGCTGGGCTCCCTGCACTGTCAGTCCTACTACCAGTCCCTGTCTCACGCCCAGCAAGTCTGGAACAACCCCATCTTGCAGGCGTCAGGCAGCCTGCCCAGCATTAACAGCAAGACCACCAGCATTGAGAACCTGCGGCTCCGTGCCAAACAGCATGCCGCCTCGCTGGGCCTGGACACTCTGCCCAACTGACCTCCTGCGCCGTGGTCACCTGCCCTGCCTTCCCTGACCTGCCCTGATACCAGTACTCCCGAATCCAGGACACGTGCCCAGGCTTTTGGTCCAGATCTCTTGCATCTGTTCACTTAACACTTAGGGCTTAACACTTGTCTTTGTTGTCTGAGGAAGACCTAATACACAACCAACTGCTTTCAAAAGAAACCTGCGTTCCATTGATGCATATGACAGCGGACTTAACAAAAGCTGTCTGACTCGTCCTTGCCGTTTCAGTGCTTTGAATAGTAATGCTTAAACAGTACTAAAGACACTCCATGAGAATGCACTGTTGAGACATCAATGCTCCTGTTCAGTGTCCAAGGCTTGACCTAGATTCTGCTACCACATCTAGGTCTTCTTGTGAGACAGACATAGTTTGCCCCTCTGAAGACACAACTGAGAGTTTTAGTGAAAAGAAGTCCCTATCAAGTCCACAAAAGATTATAAGGACTGCAGTTCTTTTCGAAAAGGAAATGAGGAACTATATCAATGAAACCTAGAATGTTTAAAGCAACTGCTACCATTAGCAAGCATTGGAAACCAAGAGGACTGATGTGATTGAAACTCCCTCAGGCACAGCTGCATCTACAATCAGAAGGGAGAGGGAGTCGTTTCAGTCCCACTATCTGTTGCTCTTGAGCCGGCTCGCCCTGAACAGAGCTCAGCACGGTTCCATCTGCTCTTCTTCCTGTCCTCAACTGTCCAGAATGTGACACAATGACAATGTGTGGACTCACACATCAAGGACCTTTCCTGCTTTGTAAATAGCCTACTCTGTTAGTTCCCATTTCTCTGGTCAGTGTTTTAAAGTCAGTGTTGCCTTCTGTGAAGAAGACTGTGAAAACAAATATTTAATTATTTTTTCATTTCAACATTGTAATCTGAGACAAAGGGAGAAAGAGGATGCATAAGACACAATAAAACAAGAACCCAGATTCTTCAACAACAATTATAGTACAAGCACCAAGCTCTTATTCCAGATACATCCCAATTAACTTTATGCACGTGTGTAATTTATCTTCAGAAATGAAAAGTGTGACTCTGAGCCATGTATATTAAGTAATATCCAAGGTTATATGTGACTAAAATATCTAAAATCCGAGATAAAATAGGATGTAAGGGACAGTATATAACTTGATGATGTAATAATTTTTGACGACCAAACATATAGATGGTGAATACGTTCTGTTTAATGACATTTTCACATGCAATGCAGTGCTGTAATGCATGGTGATTCCCATGTACTTAACATAAAGGTTTCCACCTCACCTAACCCTCAGCCTTTATGAACATTTCTAGATTCTGTATGCTCACTGACAAGCTAGAGGTTTAAATGAAAATTGAATCACACCCTTGAGACAGTGAGGATAGCCTTATGAAGTCTGTCAGCTGCGGTCCTACCCTCAATGATTTGATTGGTTGTTCATCTAGTCTATTTAATGCAATCAGACTCCTGGAGTTAATCACCTGTTCAATTTGGATTTTACTGTATGATTATATCTGCTCACCTGACAAGCAGTGTGGTAAATACATGGTAGATCTTAGGTTAGATGGATCACGCAGCACTTCCTGTGGGAATGTGAACTTCCCCATCCGAGCACTTCCAAAGTATCCAGAAGTGAATCTGGATCCTGCCCTTCTGCTCCTTTTGTTGAGGATTCTGAATTCTTCCTTTAAAATAATGTAAATTATTTTATATGTACATAAAGAAATAAAAGCCTTTATTTGTAAATGTAAACTGGTAAGGGATAGGCCTGCTTAAGGCTCTCATTTGTCTGTAGCTTGAGACAAACCTTCGGGATGGCGGATCCAAAAACAAACTCCCAAAGTCAGATTGGACTGAGTCGGCATCCGTCTGCACCTTAACTGGCAAAGCGATCAAATCTCCAAATGCCGTGGTCTGGGTGTCTATGTGCGTCTGCTAAGCCGTTTTCATTGTGGCAGTGATTTTAGAGAAGAGTAACCACAATTAATCCCCAAGTGCCACCACACGAAGAAGTGGATTTGAAATTTAAATGGCAAACGACTGGGATTAATTACGGTTTTCCTAAATTGGTTAAGTAGGTTTTAAAAGTGATATGTCAAAAAATCTCCAATAAAGCGTTGTTTGAAGACATTTATACACAGTCGTCCTCTGACCTGTATTGTTTTTTTTCTGGGGTGTCTTTAGCCAGGGGAAGGGTCTGCAAGCTATGTCTTGAAGACGCCACAAGGTAAGAGACTGGGGGCATCGGCTCCAGAGGAACACACTGCTGCCTGGCACACAGAGGCACCCTGAAGCCTGATGCCAACCAAACTGACTGCTCTCAGCTGTTAGCTCACCTGTCAGCATGCCTCTGTTCTTATATAGAGCAGGTTCACTGTGACTATGGAAGGATTACACTATAAATACCACACAGATATGTATTAAACTTCTCTACAATGCCTACAGTTTTTTAACTTGCATGTGAAGTGTGAGTATAAAATAACATTCTTGAGTTTTGCCATTCGAATACATCACTCAAAATACTGTACAGATATTTACTGCAGTAAATGACAACACTGGTGACTACATGTGCGTTCCTGTGTACTTCCAGTGCAAGCACAGTGTGATTACAAAAAATAACAAAGAAAGCACAGCTCCAAAGCCTTTGTGAGCTGCACATTACTATCATGTAAACTGCAAGAAAATCAGACTTGGAGAAAAGTGAAAATGCACTTACGTTTTATTCCTGTCATCTTGTTCAATTTACAAATTAGTCTTAATTACAGTGAACTGAGGCTTGCTGCTTCTCTTCCATGTTTGTATAGAGCAGTGATTCGAAACCTTTTTGTACCGAGGACAAGATCCTCCTCCTTTGAGGGCAAATTAGGCTAAAAGTCAGTCCATAGCAGGAATGCAATTCAGTCAGTCACATTACTGTAAGGTTACTGCAGGGGCCTGTCAGAATTGCTTGAGAGACCACTGGCAGACAATGAACCAGGCTTTGAAAACATGGGTATAAGCAACTCCAGCAGCCGAATTGTACCTTAATGTGTCCATTCTCTTTTCTTCTTGAGGATTTTAAAGAGCAAATTCTCCAATTCAGAGTGTAATGCAAAAAAAAAAAAAAATCTCTTGCAGGCTGCTGTTTTCTTTCTCCACTGAGAGGTATTGAAACCGCAACAAAAGCTACTGGTTCCAATACTCAGTCGTTGCATTTCTAATGTCTTTCAGTATAGGAGAGCCTGTGCTGAATCAGCTTTGTCCGAACAGAAGCTCACACAGATGCACCCACCTTCTCACTGTGAATCCCCGAGAAACCTGTGCTTAATGAGAACGCCAGAGATGGGACAGCGACACCCACTCAGCTAACAAGATTTCTACCAGTCTGTCAGCAAGAACAACAGGCACTCCGGAGGCTATTCAACGTATTCAGCGAAGTCTTCACCCCACCTTAAGCCAGTGCACATCAGATTAACCTCCGTCGTGTTACTTAACCTGATTTTATCAGAAGACAATTTTGTGCACCAGCTTTCAGTGTTTATCTCTCATGTTATAGCCCGCTTCCCTGCATCAGCGCACACAGTGACCCCAGACACGCCACTGTCCTGCGGTCATGGCCAGTCTCGGCCACAGGCTGCACAACACACACAAAGCCAGTTGTCATGGTGCTAATGCAGTAACATTAGGACTGAAAGTGTCCACTGCATTCTCATGTGACAAAAGCACTGAATTAAACATGGGCGAGGTAACACATAACACTTTCATAGATTTAAAAGAACCCAGTTTTAGGTATACTCACCCCTTGGGTCTCCGAAATGTAGGCCTCCATGTTTCAACAATCAAACAGCCCCAACCACAGCCATCTTTTAAAATACACAAAAATCATCAAATGCATTCAAATCAGGTCTGTGATCAACATCCGCAGCCCTGGCAAAACCAATCCAGACCAAGATGCATGTGGTGCACATATATAATTTTACCTATTCGTTGGGTTTTCAAAATCTGTGATTCCTTATTTTTGGGGGAAAGTGTTTTACTCAAAATCAGAGTGTTTTACTAGTTCTTTAAGTCAAGAACTCTCATCCGGGGCCCCCAGATGAAGGGGAAAAAAAGGGCAAAATTGACTTGCTTGCTCCTTCTTCTTTGTAAAGGCGGATCTACTGCCAGCTGGTCCCCTGACTGTATATGTACAGCACAAGCACTTCCAGCGCTGTGAAATGCATTTGATGATGCTGGTCTCCCAGTTTTCGAACCAGACAAACCAGAAGTGTTCCTCTCCACAAACCACACATTCAGAACATCTGCCTGGCTCTGCGGCTCACACGGCATCCCTCTGGCGCCTGGGACAAACGGAATTCCCCTCTCCCCGTCCTCCACACTCGCCCAGAGCGCCGCGCGGCGCGCGCCACACCCACCGCCCAGCGGACGCACTGTCCCCTCAGCTTCTTTCCTTCCCACCTTCAGAACCAGGACTCCTGGTCGGGGGTTCATTTCAGCTGGAGATTGAAAACAAACTGCAAGACCCAGAACAGCACGCAAACGGGACGATGTGATCGAAGAAAACACATCAAATGCCTTTGCCTGCCAGGAAGATGAGCTTTGAGCACATTGTACACGTTGGGCCAGCCTCAGTAACAAAGAAATGGAACTGCAGGTATCAAGGATGAATACTGGGTTATTGCAGGTCCTGCGATAAATGCAGTAATGTGAGAAACTCCCAGAGCAGAGTGAAGCTCATCCTAATTACTAAACCAAGTTTAGGTGAGAATACAGACAATTAGCTAGAGAATACCCTTTAAACATCTTTCTAAATACCGTTAGAAACAGATTAAACTGCACGCTTATCACTGTTTAACCTTCACTGACAAGCGGAACTGAGGAGATAAGCCCCTGAGATGTAGGTGAATGCTCAATCTAAACTGCTGTTTTAGCTATTTAGCAAAATGGGGTTCTGCATGATGCCTTTGACAGAGAAACACACTGGGCTCTGTCTCCATAAACTCAGCCAGACTCCTCCTCTTATCACCTTCCACTCCGACTGCAGCAGAGCGATGGTCATTTATGGCTTCACCTAAACCAGGATGAATCTATCTAAATGCTCAATTTCAGGCGTAATCTTGGGAGAAGAAAGACGAAGGCAGCCAATGTGGGCTGATGGCACTATCGGATTGAAGGTTATAGGAAATAAAGCACAACACAGCAAGCACTCCCAGCCTGAGAGGTAATAACAGCGACAGGGCAGTCAAAGCCATCAGTGGATGAGCGAAGCCCTTTCCAGTGTAGATTGGTGCCGTTGCAAAGGCAATTTTTTTTCCCCCGGTGTTAAGGAATTTGTTGCATTTACTACTTTATTTAAAGGACGCGAAAACAATGCCTTGAATGAATTCGAGGGTCACTGAGAATATGGAATTTCTAGATCGCTGATGTAGGTGGAAGTATGCTATAAACAGATGTTTTTAACAGTGAGGCAGCCTCAATCTTTCGTTTCTTGGTGCCAAGAACTGTCAAAGCATCAGCTCCTTGTGTGCCACAGGATTAAGCCTAATAATGATTTTAAGATTCTGTGACTTCCACAATTCGGTGATCTGGGCTTTGGCTGCTTATATTCCCTATTCTGTGGATTAAAGGCATCTGATTCTGGACAGGGCTCACTCCTCGACTGGCTTCATTTCCTTTGGGGTTTTTTTTATATGTTTTTTTTCTTACCTCATTGCAAAATCCCTGTGCATCTGCCAGGTCTGGGCTTTTCTTTCTTCCCAGTGACGACACACTGCCCCGAAGCCTTATAGCCAAATTGGTTTACATTAAAGAGATAAATACACAGCAAATGCGCTTAAACAAATACAGTAAAAATGCAGACGGTGCATGTCGGGATTATACCCAGAGTCAGTTTGAAAAAAGGAGTGTTTGTGCAACACAAAGCTCAGTTAACCAGCCTGAAGACTGCTGATGCAGTTCTCTTCATCACCCTTTCAGAAAAAAGGAAGGGATTTAGTATTTGCATGCTAGGCTGTGATTCTTGAATTATATAATTTGAGCACAAGCAAACCCCTACAATATCTTCAGAGTATTGTTTTGTAATTAGCGTACTCTAATGGGCGGTTTTAGTAGTGCTTATGAAATGCAGGCCTGCAGGGATGGAGGAAGTAGTTTACAGAGAGCCCACGCCGCTAAGAAGTGAGGTTTTTAATGTGAAAATGTTTCAATCATTTCTGGACAGAGTCTTCTCCTTGTGCCCCAAATCGTGTCGTCTAGTTCAGAAAGATGGTGATGGCATTTGGTTTAGCCTTCGCATCTTTTGTTTTTAAAAAATAACCAAAAACACATTTTGTTTTGTAAGAACAAAGTCACAAAATACATGCAGCCTTTTAAATGAAAAATTTCTGACCTGCTGTGTTAAACAAATATTAATTTCATTCTACTGTGACTAAGAATGTTTTAATTTTTCTACCAAGATCAAGACTTAAATTATAAATGGAAAAGAGTATTGTGTTTCCACGATAAGCAAAAAGTAGCCATTATTACTGTAAAGCAGGCAAAGAGTACTGTGCATGCTGCGTGCAATTTAAAACCCTGACTTACCTACAGCTCATCTAACCAAGAAAACTAGTGACAAGAACAGTGTATTATTCCTACCAGGTTTCAACTTTCTAGCCCTGCTGTTCTGGATTTGTAAGCTAATTTCTTGATAGCTAGCATCATGTGAGGAGAAACCCAATGCCCAGGTTTATGGCTGTGCCTCAGGCAAACCTAGACGAGACTAGGGTACTGAGAGAAGACCCCCGTACTCAGACAGGGTGTCTGTGGGAATTGACAGGGCTGAGTCAAAAGCACCAGCTGGGTTACAGGATGCCGGGCTGGTCGGGATGACAGCAGGGTCAGAAGGTTACCGTAAATGGTGACAAGGTCTGGTAAAAGTCAGAGCATACTTATAGTGAGGAGAGCTGAGGATCCAGCTCATTAGAGTCCTTCTGGTCCCCCAGGTGATGGTACGTCCTTGCAATTGCAGAAAGACCTGGATATGGAGAATGAAACCATGCATAATCACAGCTTTAATGTCTACACTGCTGGAATGTCCACCCACCCATTAACAGCAAGGTCTCTATTCCAGGTAAGGGTCAGGGCTACAGTAAGTCTCTAGTGGAAGCACA